ATCTCAAACAAACTCAGTTGGGGAGCTGTGACATTTGTGTGACAGTACATATGTAGAAGTCCAGGCTCCAACTACAACAGCTCATAACATACATGCCCCCCTTTTTGGGGAGTTTTGGTTGCTAATTTTATTTGTCCCAAATGTTTCTTTTACTCAATGAACTTTTGGGGTTTTCTTGAGTTGCACACCTCTCTGTCTTGGTCTAACATTGGTGTTGAGAAATTTTAATTGAAGTTCAATGCCAGCATTATATTGCATGGCAATTTGTGTGGCTCTCTGTTAAAATTAACAATGCATTTTTCAGACAGTTAGCAGAAAATGGTTGACTTGGGCAGGATTTGAACCAGCAACCTTAGCTTGAAGCTAAGACACTATACTAGAAGTGCTGCCTTTACCAACTAGGCTACCAAGTACATGCCTGATGTGCTGATATTAGAACACTGTGGATTACAGAATTTCAACACTCTCTAAGCCCATTTTGTTTAGTCATATGTAGATATTTCACAATCCAACTCTGTGCCAAAACTGAGCCAAATCACACATCATGAGTTGAGGCCAAACAGGGCCTGAGAAGTATAGTTGGTTTGATGTGGAAAAACTGGGTTCCTCAGTCTTGTCAAAGCCAGCGGTGGGCCCCTACACTACACTACGCTACGGGCCCATGTAGTGTTAGCGTAGCGGCACCATTTTTTTCACGTAGTGTTAGCGCGCCGCTACGGCTGCTGCGCTACGCTAATTTGTAGCGGCGCTAACACTAGCCATTTTTTGGTGTAGTGTTAGCGTGCCTCTGGCGCCGCTACACTACAGCGTTTTTAGCGGCAAAAAATGCCTCAAAACCGCTAAAAATTGCTGTAATGCAGCGTAGCGGGCAGTTTTTGGTGGCCTGTGCGTGTAGCGTTAGCGCAGATGGGGGGAATCACACTAACGCTACACTAAAGTTAGTGCAAGGTTTTGCCCCATGCGCGTAGCGTTAGCTCAAAAATGAAAAGTGCTAACGCTAT